TTTTATTATTTTCCTTCTATTATTTCTTTTAACATTGCCTTTCTTGCAAAGAAAAAGACAAAACTAATGATAAGATTCTGAGGATATCCTTAACTTTTTGCTTACCTGGCACTTGGATAGTAAGGGCGAAAAGAGAAAGTACTAACAGGTTGCTCAGCCCTGCTCTAAAATTTGTACCTCTTGCAGCCATTTCTAACCGAGCCAGTAACTTTTGCATAGGATACGAATCTGTGGTGCCTGGCTCTGCCATTTGCTCTTTCTCATTGCAATCTGGCTTTTGTAAATTGTCTTCAAAGGGGGTTGAACCAGTGGAATGGGTCGCTGCCTATTACATCAACATTATCCTCTTTGGAGACATGGTAAATGTCTAAGATGGTTACAAACCTAAGTCTGGTTCCTCTAGTTCTGGATCAGCTTTTCTAACACTTTCTGTTAAAACCAAGTATATTGCCTCAAGTCTCCTCATCCCAAAGGTAGGCTTCCTGTCTCCATCCCCTAGGTGTGCTCTCTGTCAAATTCAGGAAAATCTGTATCTTCAGGTGCATGCAGGCATGCAGCAGCATCAGCACTGACAGTGCATTGTGGCCAGGTGAGCCCTTTTACAGGGTTTGTGGTGATGTGCTTCAGAATCAGGGCCATGGAGATCACCAGGCTGCTGTGAATGCAAAGCTGAAGCAGAGTAACAGCAACAGGAGCAGAAAAAATGGCATGAAGAAGCATCAAAGAGATGCCTGCTTCCACCTACAAAGAAGAAATGTTCTTTCATCTTGATTAAAGGTCCTGCTCAGAGTAATCTAGGACTTTACCATCTCCTGAGTGAATTTCTGTAATCCAGGTTGACAGCAAAAGAAAGCGAGCATCTTTATGCAGGTCCTTGCTCCTCAGCTGCTTCCCAAGTCAGCTCTGTTTTCTGCCATCTTCCAGTTCATATCCATGGCAAGATTTTGGGTTTAGTCTGTAAAGTGTTAGTGAATCATTTATCACCAGCATCAGGATCTTCCTATCTACTTCTTATCCTCTGAGACTACTCTCTACGTACAGGGCATATTACTAAGAAAAGGCCAAAGACTCAGCTTGTAGCTGCAAGATACCAAGCATCTCCAGCTGGAAGTTTACCTTTGAAATCAGTTGCTGGCAGAGGCAAAAGTGAAATTGGAGAGGTTAAAATCTGCAGAATGACAAGATGCTTTCAGTACATCTTAAAACCTTGTAATTGATAAATTCTCACAACTCTTCCTTCAATTCCTGGTTCAAACTCCGCTGTTTTATTTCTTGCACAAAGGAGAGACATGCTTTGTTCATGAGAAGCAGAGGTTTATTGACAGGGCTGGGTTCAAGGTGTGCTTCGTTGGCATCAGTCTGTGCTCCTTTTGCATATCACCTCTTCTCAATTTTATGCTGCCACAGCATCCTTTCTGCAGGTATGCTAGCCAGTACAAGCTTTGTTTTGGGGGTTTTTTTCCTTTCAATTTGGCATACAGTTCCTTCTTGTTTTTCTTAAAAGATAATCCCTAACTTGCTCTTCTCCAGCCTGCCATTTGCTACTATTATCCAGTTGTACACATTGTACAGCTTAATCATAGTAATACATTATGTCTGTGTGTGTATTTTTCCTCTCCTCTGGGTATTTATGAGATAACTGTGAGTTGAAGAGCAGTCTGGAAGACTGAAAATTGTTAGTAGACCACACAAAAGAATTTGACAGAAAGAAGACATCTTTCCTTTATCCAATTGGTAGCTTGTGATTTCTCAAAACAAAGTTTATTGCTAATCTATTCCTAATAGAAGAAACTGTGGAGTTCTAAGATATGTGAAAAGGTAAAAATTATTAGGTCCAAATATTAGGTGACAATTGTTTGATCATAAACTTAATAACAGAAGTTGAGCATTGAGAAACTTGAAGTCACTTCAGCCAGTTTGATGTGGATCAGCTCTGAAAAAAACCCTAAAACAACACTAAAAAAATCCACTATACTCTTCACTTCCTAATTTCTTTTATTGAGGAGAATAATGAAATGGCGAATGTTGATTTATTGTTCAGCAATTTATAAAATTATTTCCATAAATCCTTTGAACCACATTGAGGTATCTGAAGATGTCGCATACTATAAAGCCATAGGTTTAAATTAATGAGTCTTTCCTTCTTAGTATTATAATTGTATTTTGGGACTTTAACAAATTTATTGCCCCAGTCTACAGAGCACCATATTCTGGATATCCTAAACAATTCACACTTCCATAAACCAAATTTTCAGGAAGATTTTGACATTTAGGTCCTTTCAGCCCCAGTTGAAAGAAGGGTATAAGTAGGAACCTGTGTTGCAGATTGCCAGCTTTGTTCCTGCATTTTGAACTAGATTTCACAGGTCTTAATGCACCACTGTCTTCAAAGGGTGGAGGAGGTTGGGCTCGTCTTTCTAACCTGTGTGGGAAACTCCACGTTTCCCTAGATTACATGAGTTGTCTTTTCTGAGGAAACTTGATCTCTGGGTAGTGGTCTCTGAGCATTGACTATTTGAACATGGTGCAGAGGCCACCACTGCTTCCCTTTGAAAAGTTAGGTCACTTGTCCAGGATGGAGGAGACCTGAGTGCAGACTTCAGCTTTTGTTTTGCTAGGTGGAAGAAACAGCGCTTGGTGGGATAGCTCAGAGATACACTTCATGCGTGGAGAAAACACACTATTTTACTTTGCA